TTTTAGTGCGCCGTACATGGCTCACCATTTTTAAACAGGTTGAAATGTAACCGTGCACAACCTTGTGAGAACTGTATCAAACGAGGCGATGCCACATCATGTTCATATGCTCAGGCAAACGTACGAAAGAAGAATCCACCTCAGCTGTCTGCTTCAAGTTCGCCAGACGACATGCAGAATCGCATCGACCGGCTTGAGAATCTTGTTCTGTCCCTCATGACAAATGGTTCACAGGCCGGCGGTCCAGCTGCAGCCCTTGCTGCGATATCTGGCAATAGCAGTAGCACTGGCTCTGTACCACATACCGGGGATGTAGACATAGAGGACGACGCACCCAATGCTCCGGAGGAGAGTGACACTGAGCAGGTCACCAAATCGTTTGGCATAATGAAGGTCGACAATAACAAGTCATGGTATTTCAGCGAAGCACATTGGGCTACTGTAATGCATGATGTACGTCTATCTTATTCTCAACCAGCTTCGATCGTCATGCTAATGGTACTTTCTAGATCACGGAAGTCCGCAATTTCTTCCAGACGCACAAAAAACAGTACGAGGAACAAGCCCAGAAATTGGAGGCAACGAAGTTGCCTACCGATGTTTCAGGGTCTGCATTACTGTTTGGAGCTACAAAGCCGCTTAGCCGAGCAGAAATCATGTCTTCTTTTCCTTCAAAGTATACAACGGACATGTTGATTGAACGATATTTCAGCTGTTACGACCCTTCGACTCGTGAGTCAGAGATCACGTCCACCTACACAAAGTACTGTTAGAGCTGACGTAGCAATAGATATTCTCCACGGCCCAACCTTCCAAGCCCAGGTAAGTCAAAATTGTTCCCCCTAAACGGAGGGGAGGCAGTTCATTAACAGTGGCCTAGTACAACCGTCACTGGGAGGATCCTTCGCAGACGTGCACCGTTTGGATCGCTATGCTCTTCGCCATGATGCGGCTGGCCATGTTATCATACCATCGTGATGGAGACGAGCCACCGGAGTTCCGGGGTAAATCGTTAGACATGGCTGGCACGTTTAGGAATCTTGTTGCGCAGTGCCTTACTTTGGCTGACTTTACCAAATCATATCCAAATCTGATTGAAAGCTTGATATTCCATCTTCATGGAGACCTCTGCCAGACACGGGAAGCGGACGTATCAGTTTGGGTGCTGGTGGGTGTGATTACGAGGCTGGCCATGAGGATGGGATACCATCGCGATTCGAAGATGTTTCCCAACATCACCCCCTTCCAGGGTGAAATGCGCCGCCGAGTGTGGTCCTTCGTACGGCAGGCAGATCTACTGTGCTCCTCTCAAATTGGTCTTCCAAACATGATTCGCACGTCTGACACAGACACGGAACTCCCCCGAAATTTGTATGATGACGATTTCGATGAGAACTGCAAGGAGCTCCCGCCGTCTCGACCCCCGAATGAGCCTACACCAATCTCGTATCTTATTGCCAAGTCACGCTTGACATTTGTCTTTGGCCGTGTCCTCGAAACAACAGCCCCCCTTCAAACTCCAGTTTCTTACGACACTGTTATGGAGGTTGATGCGCAGCTTCGGCGAGCTAGAGACTTGATACCTGAGCACCTGCTTGTTCGTCCGATTGAAGACTCTCCACGGGAGTCACCCACTCTGATTCTTTCTCGCTTTACGGTAACTCCAATCCGCGATGTTTGTGTTTGGCTTGTCCTGACTATTTGCAGATTGCAAGTGTGTACCACAAAGCGCAATGCGTCCTCCATCGAAAATACCTCGTTCGAGCGCACGAGAACCCTCGCTTCACATACTCAAGAAGAACATGCATAGATTCCGCTATGGAATTGCTGAGGTATCAATCGTTGCTCCACACTGAAACTCAACCCATGGGGCGACTACGAAGTAGACACAACCGGGTTACCTCTCTCGGCTCGACCGACTATCTCCTGGCAGCGACGATTATTTGCATCGATATGTATCATGGACAAAGACTTCAGGCTGCAGGCAGAGTATCCAGTGACTCATATGCTTGGGGTAGAGAGCGACGAGAAGAATTAATAGCCGCCCTGCGGCGATCCAAGGGAATATGGGAGGAACTTCAGGACGAGACGATAGACGCTTGGAAAGCAGGCACCGCCCTTGGGGTGATGCTCTCAAAACTGAACCTTGGATATCCTGAAAGTACTGCTCCTGCGCCGGCATTTGAGCCGCAGGATGAGAAACAAAGTGCGGCGATGACCCTGGGTCTCCTCAGCAGCGGAATGAGCCCTGTAAACCCCGGCCACCAAGTCCTCAACGATCCTACGTACAAGATGACAGATGCGCCCTTGCCAGCGCAGGGTGCACTAGGAACGACAGTCGACATGCCAGGAGCGCCTTCGCCTTTCAACGCAATGTTTGGGCAGCTACCTGATATGCAGCTCAATCTGGATTGGGTACGTGTTTCTGTATGGTGTAATCTTGTGAGCTATCTCTAACTAAAGTAACACAGGATGCCTGGGATACCTATATTCAGAATTCGACGCTAGATGCGTCATCACAATGGTGGCCCTCGGCCGAGGTGCAACAACAACAGCAGCAGCAGCAGCAAAGCCAAAGTCCTCTGTCACCCGTACAGCTGTCCGCCGTGCAGAGTGGCGGAGCTGATCGACTTCGCTCGATGCCCCGCGGTCCCCCTAACCTTTTCTCTCCGGACAGCAGTGGCTATGACAATAGCAGTCCACTTGCGGCGGCAGCCTTTGCCGCCAACCCACTCCAACATCCAAGTAATACAGGACCGGGAACTTGATTGTCTCTCGGCTTCAGTCCGGCAACGCAGTATATAAAGAATGAATGTCAAAAGTTAATGTGATGGCTAAGTGCTGTACGATTCCTCTGTCCATATGGCTCCTTTTTGGTTGGATTATCTCCCCTCACAAGAGGCATGTTCATATCATTTTATTGGTATACATTGTGGGTTTGGTGTCTGGATGGATATGAACTCTGATACGAATGAATGGAGGCCTCAAAGAAAGGAAAGGTGTAAATTAAGTGACTCCTAATCGGGTGCAAATATGTAATGGCGTTACTTTCAGTTTCTCAAATTAATCTCGTTCCATGTGCTACTAGTAAGTGATGCACACTCAGTACGTATGATTTCAAAGTTCTCTTTAATTACTTACTTAGTAGTAGTGTATGTAGTGCCGATATATATATGTAGTCTCCGAGCATCAACATCTGAAGACTAGCACTGTGACTACACCAAGGACTAGTTGCAATAATGATGAAGCTACCGGGTTCTCCACATTAATATTGTCCTCAAACCAGAAAACACAATCCAAACAATATCTAGACTACTATTCAAACTTCCAGCACTGGTAAAATCACGTGATAACCGGCCTCGGATCGGACGAACCAGATTTTCCAATCAAGCCGCAGCAGCAGACAGCAGCAGTGCAATTCCCCCCAAATCCCAACGAGGCCAGAAAGAAATAATTTAATTATCTTCTCATCCTTGGCCTACAGAGAAAATGTAAGTTGATGGTACTGCATGTCTTAGAAACGATGTTATGATATCTGTGTACATTCTAATACTCCGATTCGGACACAGGCATTGTTTCCGAGCAGCTTGCCGGCTGCTGTCTTCCACAGCCCCAGCGCCGTTACGCTCAACAAGAGCACTTCCTTCCCTCCAATCTCGCCTGGCAGTCCCTGTTCGGATTTCGCAGCCTACTTTGCAAAGTCGTTGGAATAGTACCGATGTGAACAATGAGCGCAAACCTGTTGAGGAGAGCGAGCAGCGCGAGAAGGCCGAGGAGGTGGAACAGTCGCGCGAAGAGCCCTCGATTCGGTTCATTCAGACAGAACTGAAGGCTGGTAGTCAGAGGCCGGTTCAGCAGGAGAAGCCGCAGGAGCAGGAGCAGGAGCAGGAAGCATCTGACGCCGAGAAGCAGACCGAAGCGCGGAGGCGAAGACTCCAGGAGCCGCCGACCCCCAAGGAGACAGTTTTCATTGGCAATATCTTCTACGATGTGACTCGTGAGGATCTGAAGAAGGCGATGGAGAAGTATGGTGTTGTTGAGAAGGTTGTTCTCGTTCTCGATAACCGGGGCATTAGCAAAGGGTAAGTTTGAAGGAGTTTATTCCTTCTGTGGCAGGATAACTCAGAGCTAACCACTACCCGGGTATAGATACGGCTATGTCCAATTCGACTCTATCGACGCCGCCCAGCGCGCAGTGGATGCTTTGAACTTGCGTCTGTTCGAGGGCCGCCGCGTGACCGTGCAATTCGCCCAGAACAATGTTTACCACCGCCGGCAATTGAACGCCCCTACCCGCACGCTGTACATTGGTAACTTGCCTTTCGAGATGACGGACCGGGACCTCAACGAGCTGTTCAAGGACGTTCAGAATGTCGTTGATATTCGTGTGGCGGTTGATCGTCGCACTGGACAGGCTCGCGGTTTCGCTCACGCCGAGTTCGTCAGCACCTCTAGTGCCAAGGCGGCCATGGCCATCCTTGAGAACAAGCTCCCCTACGGACGCAGACTGCGTCTGGATTACAGCAAGGCCACGAGCCGGACCGTGGTTGGTAGCGACAAGTCTGCTCCCGCGGAGCAGTCATAATAGTTTGAGCGGTTGGCATCAGTATTATTCTGTGTAAACATGTCAAAGGAGGAAAGGTCTCATGTACTTTAATTGAACGATATATCCTACATAGTGTAGGTCTGTATATTAACGAAATTGCACTCGACTGACTGGACTATATTGGGGATTCTGTATCGATAGACTAGTATACTCCGTAGCATGATAGTGACAGTCCACGTGACTGTCGGGGAGCCTCGGTATCTTTCCGATCGGCAGTAGCGCCTCTCTCCGAAACCCCACGTTCGGCGCTCGAGCTGTTCTTCCTCGGACAACTCGCATTTACATCTGCTTTATAATCAGCTCTACCAAATACTCAACCTCTCCGCATCTACCCCTGCATTATTCATGATATAACTGAGACCCAGACCACTACGATCGTTACTATACATACAATATGTCCTTCCTTGGTGGCGCCGAGTGCTCGACGGCAGGCAATCCGTTGACTCAGTTCACCAAGCACGTCCAAGATGATAAGTCCCTACAGAGAGATCGCCTCGTGGGGCGGGGTCCCGGAGGCATGCAAGAAGGCATGCGATCCCGGGGTATGATGGGAGGACAAGATCAGGTACGAAGTGAACCTTTATCTATCAGAAACCATACATCCTTATCCAGTACTAATGCCCGATTGATAATCCTATTCAGATGATGGACGAATTCGCCCAACAACCCGGCCAAATTCCCGGTGCTCCCCCGCAACCATTCGCCATGGAGCAGCTGCGACGTGAGCTAGATCAGTTCCAGACCACACCTCCCCGGACGGGCTCCCCCGGGTGGGCTGCCGAGTTCGATGCAGGCGAGCATGCCCGCATGGAGGCTGCATTCACCGGGCCGCAAGGTCCCATGATGAACAATGCGTCGGGATTTACGCCCGCGGAATTTGCCCGATTCCAGCAGCAGAGCCGGGCTGGCATGCCTCAGACGGCTAACCCTGTGGCGTCTGCCCCGTCGCCGATGATGGCAGGGTACCAGCGGCCCATGGGTATGGGCGGGTATATGGGCATGGGTGGAATGGGGATGATGCCGCAGACTTTTAACCCTATGGCGATGCAGCAGCAGCCAGCGGAGGCGACTACACAGGATAAAGGCAAGGGACGGATGGTGGAGCTGGATGACGAGAACTGGGAGGCACAGTTTGCGGAGATGGAGACGGCGGATACTCAGAAATTGGACGATGAGGCCAACGCAGCTGTGGAGGCAGAGCTGAATGATCTGGACAGGTCAGTCCCCCAAGAATCAGGCGATAGTGCCTTTGAAAGCGTGTGGCAACGGGTCCAGGCTGAGACCGCAACCAACAGGAAACTGGCCGAGGGCGAGACCGACTTTAACATTGACGACAACCTGCATATGGGTGAGATGGGCGAATGGGACGGATTCGATACGCTTAACACGCGCTTCCGCAACCCCCAACTAGGCGATTATATGTTCGAAGAAGATAACGTGTTCCGGAGCGTGAACAATCCCTTCGAAGAGGGAGTGAAGATTATGCGCGAGGGTGGAAACCTTTCTTTGGCTGCTTTGGCTTTCGAGGCGGCAGTCCAGAAAGATCCCCAACATGTCCAGGCCTGGACCATGCTGGGATCGGCCCAGGCGCAGAATGAGAAGGAACTTCCGGCCATCAGGGCGCTGGAACAGGCACTGAAGATCGATGCTAACAACCTGGATGCGCTGATGGGACTGGCTGTTTCCTACACCAATGAGGGCTATGACTCGACATCGTACCGCACTCTGGAGCGCTGGCTGTCCGTCAAGTACCCCCAGATCATCAACCCCAATGATGTTTCATCGGATGCCGACCTGGGCTTTACGGACCGTCAGCTCCTGCACGACCGTGTCACCGACCTCTTCATCCAGGCTGCTCAGCTGTCGCCTTCGGGTGAGCAAATGGACCCGGACGTCCAGGTCGGTCTGGGAGTTCTCTTCTACTGCGCGGAGGAGTACGACAAGGCGGTTGATTGCTTCTCTGCTGCATTGGCATCCACGGAATCTGGAACCTCGAACCAACAGGAGCAGCTCCACTTGTTGTGGAACCGTCTGGGTGCTACGCTCGCCAACTCGGGTCGCTCCGAGGAGGCGATCGAGGCCTACGAGCAAGCGCTGAACATCAACCCCAACTTCGTCCGGGCGCGGTACAACCTTGGTGTGTCGTGCATCAACATCGGCTGCTACCCAGAAGCTGCGCAACACCTGCTGGGAGCACTGTCGATGCACCGGGTGGTTGAGCAGGAAGGTCGAGAGCGGGCGCGTGAGATTGTCGGTGGCGAGGGTGGCATTGACGACGAGCAGCTGGATCGCATGATCCATGTTAGCCAGAACCAGAGCACCAACCTGTACGACACGCTGCGGCGAGTCTTTAGCCAGATGGGGCGACGTGATCTGGCTGACCAGGTGGTGGCGGGCATGGATGTCAATGTGTTCCGGCGGGAGTTTGAGTTCTAAGCATAGCCAAAGGGCATATAGTGGTCATGCTCAGCCTGGTTTGCTGAGAGAAGTTGCCTAGCTGGATGGAAGGTGATGTTTTTGGATATGGATACCATATATGAATGATTTGTCTGCGGACTGGCGCCCACAGAGGGATGCCGTAATGAACGAAGCCCATTGAGATATGCACTGTAAATGAGAATGCGGACTATTTGTAGATACTCCAGTGTTCTACTCAAGTGATTGTAGTTATTCATCTGCAGGTTTCCATCCCTTTATTGTATACTATTCATGTGGCTGCCTGGGGCCACTCACCCCTTTGCGTCATCCGCCATTGTTTGCCTCGGCTCTTCTCCTGCTCCTCAACTCGAACTCCGCAGGACTTTCTCGCCGAAACAGCACTGCTCTCACCATTCTCCTTGCAAGGAGAAGATTTCACTGTATACTATGGCCGTGGTCACCGGCGCTCAACTGATCGCCCGATCGCTGCGCGATCTAGGCGTAACCGTCATCTTCGGCATTGTCGGCATCCCTGTGGTCGAGATCGCCGAAGAGGCCATCAACCTGGGCATTCGATTCGTGGCATTTCGCAACGAACAGGCCTGTAGCTATGCTGCCAGTGTCTACGGATACATGACAGGCCGACCGGGCGTCTGTCTAGTTGTCGGAGGGCCGGGAGTTCTCCACGCGCTGGCCGGGGTAAGCTTACTCCAGCATTCTCTCCACCGCTAGCCAGCTCTTGGCCATCGTGCTAACTCCATACTATTGATTGAAACCAGATAGGAAACTCCTCTGCAAACAACTTCCCATTGCTAGTTCTCGCCGGCTCTGCTGAGACCACCGGTGTCACCAAAGGCGCTTTTCAGGAATTGGACGCCATCTCCTTGCTCACCCCCCACACCAAGCTCGCTGTCCGCGCCTCCTCCCTCGACTTCATCCCCGGCGCCGTCAAGAATGCCTATCGCACATGCTGGTACGGTCGTCCAGGCCCGACCTTCGTCGACCTCCCCGCCGACATCATCCAAGGCAAATCCTCCCCTGGATACCGTCTCCCGCAGCCCGAGACCCTGCTTGTCCCCTCGCCGCCAAAGGCGAGCGGAGACCCAGCCCTGATCCTCAAGGCAGCGCAGCTGCTCCGCACTGCTCGCTCCCCACTCCTAGTGATAGGCAAAGGCGCCGCATACGCGCGCGCAGAGCTCGGAATTAACCAGCTCGTGGATCAAACCCAGATCCCATTCCTACCGACACCAATGGGCAAGGGCGTTGTGCCGGACTCGCATCCCTTGAACGCATCCAGCGCGCGTAGCGCAGCCCTAAAGCACGCCGACGTTGTCCTGATCCTCGGCGCCCGTCTGAACTGGATCCTCCACTACGGCGAAGCACCCAAATGGAATCCAACGGCCAGGATCATCCAGGTAGACATATGCGCCGAAGAGATCGGCCGCAACGCCGGAACAGCCGAGCTAGGAATCCTAGGAGACATCGGACTAGTCGTAGACCAACTCCTCTCCTCGCTTTCCAACTGGAAATACTCACCTACTCCCTCCCAATCATCATCGTCTAATAAACCCAACGGAACCTTCACATCCATCCTAACCACCTCCGCGAACCGCAACGAACTCAAAGCCCAAACCGCCGCCCTCCGTCCCACCCCGCCAAACACCCCCCTCACCTACCAGCGCGCCTACCACATCATCAAATCGACCCTCAACACCCTCTCCCCCTTCGAACAAGGCAACATCATCTACGTCTCCGAAGGCGCCAACACAATGGACATATCCCGCTCCATCTTCCCACTCAACCATCCCCGCCAACGCCTCGACGCAGGCACCTACGCCACAATGGGCGTGGGGATGGGCTACATCGTTGCAGCGCATGAAGCATACAACGCTCTCCCATACACCACCTCCACCAAGCAAAAGAAAATAGTAGCCTTCGAAGGCGACAGCGCCTTTGGCTTCAGTGCCATGGAAATCGAAACCCTAGCGCGGTACCGCATCCCGGCACTCATCTACGTGGTTAATAACTCAGGCATATATCATGGCGACTCGGTGAGTGAGGATGATTGGAGGGTATTGCAGGGTCAGACGGTGGGGAATGATACGAAAGCTTCTGAGAGTGCTGCTGGAGGTGAGGGAAAGAAGAAGGGCCTGCGCTCGACGAGTCTGCTCTATGAAACAAGGTATGAGATGTTGGCGACGATGTGTGGTGGGAAGGGGTTCTTTGTTAGGACTGAAGAGGAGTTGGAGAGAGCGACGAGAGAAGGGTTCGAGAGTGAGTGTGTGACTGTCGTCAATGTTATTGTTGAGCCGGGGATTGGCAAGGAGATTGGGTTTGCGTGGCAGGGGAAGGCGAAGGGAGATGGTTCTAGTAGTGGTGGTGGGAGGGAGGTCAAGTTGTAGGTTAGGTGATGTGCGGGAGTATACCAGAATGCACTTCATGTTGTCTGTACGTCACATGCTTGAGACTATACATAGTATATACGCCCAATGTATAGCAATACCCAGTATGTAGTACCTATAACTACTACTGCAAAACCTCATCCAACACCTTAGCCACCGAAACAGCCTTTTCTTCACCAAACCGGCCTCCAACGATCTGCACCGTGATGGGCATGTCTTTGACGAGGTCAGGGTCATCTAGACGGTGTCAGCAAATAGTCAAACCAGAAAGGGAAGGGAGAAGGGAGAAGGAGGGTATGCATACACTGTTCCCAATTAAACCGATCCGAGTCATTCCTAGGCACATGCTCCAACCACTCCTGATCCGGCTGATCAAGCGCACCATCCACTTTAGCCACCGGAACAGTAACAGCTGCGTAATTGAGCAAGTTCCAGAGAGCCGTGTAACCGAGCCACTGGGAGCTGACGACCCATGATTTCGGCCGGTAGCCGACCCAGGGCGTGACGGGCATCAGGAGGGCGTCGATGTTGCTTGATGTCCATTGTTGGAGGAAGGTGGTTTGGTAGGCCCATTTGGTTTCTTCGAGCTGTATCATATTTGTTTGTGTTAGTTGATATGGCTATGAGGTAGAAAGATGGGTGGGGGGTATGGGACTGACCTCTTCACGTTCTGAGATGGTCAGTTCATCTTTCTCTGTCCCTACTACCATTCCTTCGATCAGTGGCTCCCCGACAATGTCGCACAGGTAGCGACAGTGTTGGCCTCCGTCGGCGAGGATGGCTTTTGTCCACAAGTTCTGGCCTGTGACGTGGAGAGAGGTGTCCCATTCGAAGACTGCCATGTGATCAGTGGAAGTTGAGGAGATAAGAAAGGGGGGGGATTGTGAACTGTGCACATACCTTCATGGCCAGCTTCTTTGAGTTTCTCTGCAACTTCGCGCATGGCTCTGGCGATTGGGGGCTGCGGCTTGACTACGCCGTCATCGTAGACTATTCCCAGTCGTAGTTTGCCTGTGGGTTTCGCAGCAAGTTCCTTTCTCCAAGGGATTGGGATGCAGCCTGGATCAATGTTCCAAGGGTTGGAGTCGAGGAGGGATTGCATGAAATGCTCAATGCTGGATAGGCTGCGGGCCATGGGCCCTGCGACTGGAGGAACGAGGTAGTGCTGGTGCATGCTGAGAATGGTCAGCCGTTGTCTATAGAGTCATGTATATGGCGATGGAGCCATACAACGAGCAGTTCCATGGTACTCGACCTGTAGTAGGACAGATAGAATATAAACCCTGAAGATTGGCTGGGACACGGATAGAGCCTCCGATATCAGTTCCAATACCAACGACACTGCCACCCGTGCCAATGAGGGCGCCTTCGCCGCCGGAGCTTCCCCCGGAGATGAGTTGGCTGTTAAAGGCGTTGATGGATTGTCCGAACACATGGTTGTAGGAATCAGACATCTGGCCCAATCAGCGTCTGCCATCATGAGCAAGGTAGAAGGGTGATTGCTTACCATCAGAGACTGTGGCACGTTCGTCTTCACGTACAACACTGCGCCCATTGACTCCAACGACAAGGCAATACTGCTGTGTCTTTTCGCCGGTTTACCAACTAGTCCAACCCAGCCTACATACAAGTAGTTAGTCACCACTTGTCTCCCAGCAGGAGTAATACCAGGGAATGGACACAAACCAACGGTAGTATCAAAACCCTCGACATCAAACCGATCCTTAATCGAAACCGGCAGCCCATGCAACGGCCCCGTCACCTTTCCCGTCTTCTCCAAGATATCATCGAGCTCCTGAGCTCGCGCTAGCGCCCTGTCGAAGAAAATCTCCGTCAAGCACTTGGTTAGCTGCTGGGCGATGGCCGCGCGCTTACAGAACGCCGTTGTGAGCTGAACGGAACTAATCTCGCGGCTCGCCAGCATAGAAAGCAGCACAGTACTATCGTTTATCTCCGTCCATTCCAGCTCTTTCTCCGTCAGAATGTCACAGGAGCGGATTGCCTCTAGAGCATTGAGTGGCGGATCGGCAGTGATGGACTCCGGGAGACGCCAACTAGGTGGAATGGCAGCCAGCTGAGCTGCGCGCTTCTTGTAGACGGTTGATTTCCAGGTTGGAATAGTCATGGTTGTTGTTTCTATATACTAGCTTTGCGGATATTGGATGTCTTGGGCAAAATGGTGAGAAGGACTATGGGTGATTGCAACTACTGAAGATTCCAAAGTCGTACGGTGGAAGAGGAGGCCACAGCACCGGACTTAAAGCCGGATGGGGTATCAGGTGTCCTACACGAGCCTAACACGGTTGGCTATCATGGTGATGAACCAAGGGAGGAGATAAGTTGCACGGCCGGATGATATCGGTGGTGCTGCCAATCAAGGGCTCCTGATCGTCTTATCCTGCCTATCTCGGGGGAGGATGGATTAGGTTTCTATCCGGATGATGCTGCGGGGATGGGAGGGGAAGCTGACCGGATTTGGTGCCGATTTCCCCTCACGGGTTAGCAACTTGGTGCTTTAGATGGATGGAACGATGGAAAGAAATAGAGGAGAGGGGCAGAAGGAATGGAAAAGTGGTAGAGGAATGGTTGAGGGAGGGTCGGATGAAGGGCCCGCCAACCATGAAGCTCCGTCAGGCGCCGAGGCACCAAGGTTACGGCAGAGACGAAACACGAGCAGATACAGAGATATGCTTGCTTGGATATTTGATACTATGGTACATATAGACGCCTCTACACAGTGATCAACATGCTGGCGTTCTTATACCAGGTCAAGAGCGGATTCTCTCCGTTCTTCGTCTCCGTGTCCTCAATATACGCCCACCGGCGCATAAAGTCTTCATGGCTCATCACCTGCGTCAGCTTGCCCGTGACAGCACGGTAGATGTCTTCGGTGGTGTTGAAATCGGTAGGGAAGAAGATATCGAAGTATCCTTGATGGACCTAATGCAGAGTTAATATACGGCCAAGCAACCACATGGAAGAAAGAGAGAAACATACGAATGGCGTCGACACCGGAACTGTCCGTCTCTTGTACCGCGTCTGCACCACGGGTGCATTCACTCCCGGCACGGCATCCGGGAGAGTGTCAAAGTCACTGGCGATCAGGCGGTGGCCCGGGAAATAGGTGTTCAGGATATCGAAGAACTGCATAAGCCGGGTGGGGATATATTCCGGCAGGGTGTAGCGATGGCCCTGCTGCCACGGCAGCTGACTGCGCATCAACTTCATGTACTTGGAGGTCAATGGAGTGCGGAACTTCCGTCGCGCCGCAGCCTGGCGCACTCGCAAAAAGCGAGAAGCAATTGGGTCCAGCTGCGTATTGTAGTACTCGAGAAACTCGCCGTTGGCGTCGATCAGCACTCCACCCTGCTGAGGCAGCTCCGTCTTGAGGTCGTAGCGGATTTGATCATGGGAAAAGTTATCAAACACCTCCAGCGCCAGGAAAAAGCACGGCGAATGTACATATGTATCCCAGTCGAAAATCGAGCGGTTGATGATCTCCACACGGTCTGAATGGCCGGCCGCATCCAGCGAGTCGGTCAAGTTCTGCATCTGAAGCGATGCGAGCGACGGCGAAATCTCAATGATCTTGTACTTGGTCCGCTGGTAAACCTCGTAATCTGTGTCGCGAATGTAATCCAATATGTTCATCATCATGGTTCCATTTCCGGCACCCATTTCGTATATGATCAGGTCGTGGTAGGGGTACAGCGTCAACTTGTAGTTCGACACCAAGTACCGTGCGATCGTCTCTCCGTAATAAGGTCGGAAAAGCTCCGTTGGCGTGTGCCACAGCTGACGAGCGACATCTGGATTGGTCTCATCCAACTGATCCTCGAATTCGTCGTAACGTTGCCCAAGCATGCGATAAAATGCCGGACCGTCCTCGATCTCGTTGAAATAAAATGGCTCTCCGGGGCGGAAAATGGTGGCGTGTTTCGAGAAGTAGCCGTAATTGTGATTGTATAAACTGTCTAGAAACGAACGAGACAACATCATTAGCACCAGCGACCATCAAGCACATAGTGAATAGGCCTCCCAACCATCGATGAATTCTCTCGTCAGCATCTTCACTTGTCGCGGCCGCTCACGATGATGGCGGAGCTCTTTGGCCGTCACCAACGGATACGCCTGCATTTGCTCCTCGAAATTGTCGACATTCTGCATGACCTGATCTCGCGGGGCCCATAGTGTTCCAGGATCTAGTTTCGAGTGTCCAAAGAGGCGTCTCTTAAAACTTTGGAAACTGAGGTTGCGAGACTGTTGACGGGATGGGGTGGATGACAGGCGCACGCAACCCGGTCGGCGCCCCGACAGGGCAGATGAGGATCTCCAAGATTGGCGACAGGCAGGATGTTGAAACAGCTGCCGAAACAGCTGATTCAGGACTGGCGAGTCCATGAGGAGGAATTGGCGGCGAGCAGCAGCAAAGCGCAGGCCGAGGAGGGATCGTGAAAGACGAAGAGAGAGCGAGAGAGTGAGGAGGTCAGGCGACGAATCACGAAATCCATTGGCCGGAGTTGCTCTGGTTGGCCCGAGCTTTTTCTCCGGTCTCTTCTCCGACCTGCTTCTGACGTAGATAGTTGATATGAATTGATATCCTCTCTTCCCTGCAGACGCTCTTACTTGATCCCCTCTAAGCATGGATGACCGCTCACAGCTGTACATCGGCACTGCCTTTGTTGCTGGTGTTCTTCTCACGCTGGGATTCAAGGATCTTGTCTACCCGGAATTAGAGCGCCGCGTCAAAGACTACTACCAAGCAAGCTCGCAAGCGAAGACAGCCGCGACAGTCTCCGAAGATGCCTTGAGCGCGAGACCGGGCCCTCCCGCCATTGTCGAAGGCATTGAGGGCTGCATTGGAAATACACCTTTGTTCCGAATCAAATCATTGTCCGATGCGACAGGGTGCGAGATTCTGGGCAAGGCCGAAGTACGTCATTCCACTCCTACATCGTCCACAACTACATTGCACCTCCAATGACAATAAATGGGGTATAGCTAACAATGTTGCAGTTCCTCAATGGAGCTGGACAAAGTTCCAAGGACCGCGTCGCGCTGAGCATGATTCAAATAGTAACGCAACCCACCCCACCCCTCTGGATTTTCTCTTACACCCCCCCGCAGGCCGAAGAACATGGTATCCTAAGACCTCATTCAGGCGACACAATCTACGAGGGTACTTCCGGCTCCACGGGAATCTCCTTGGCTACTCTAGCCCGTGCGAAAGGCTATCTCGCGCACATGTTCGTTTCCCATAGCCCTACCCACTTTCCTACAACCTCGCTACAAGCTCTAATACTAATGATCTGCTCTAGCTGTATGCCATCCGACCAAGCGATTGAAAAGTCCAATCTCCTCCTTAAACTAGGCGCCATCGTCGACCGCGTACCACCCGCGCCCATCGTGGAAAAGGAAAACTTTGTCAACCGGGCGCGAGCTCTTGCGCAAGCGCAAACCGCATCGGACACGGACGGAAGGGGTTTCTTCGCCGACCAGTTCGAGAACGAGTCCAATTGGCGGGCACACTTCAATGGCACGGGGCCTGAAATCTATGCGCAATGCGAGGGAAAACTGGATGCTTTCGTCGCGGGCGCTGGGACTGGGGGTACTATCTCTGGCGTGGCGCTCTTCCTGAAGCCAAAGATACCGAACTTGCATGTAGTGCTGGCCGATCCTCAGGGAAGTGGACTGTACAACCGAGTTCGCTTTGGCGTCATGTTCGATTACAAGGAGAGGGAGGGCACTAGACGACGGAGACAGGTCGATACTATTGTTGAAGGAATTGGGATCAACCGTGTGACGGCGAACTTTGAGGCTGGGAAGGAGCTGGTTAATGACGCAGTCAGAGTGACAGACGCTCAAGCTTTGGCTATGGCTAGGTGGCTTGTAGAAAAGGACGGCATATTCATCGGCAGTAGCAGTGCCGTGAACTGTGAGTGCTCCCAAGGATTCCTTTGCCGTGTTACTCATGCTAAATCTCCCATCACACAGGCTTCGCGGCCGTGAAGACGGCAATGAAGCTGGGACCCGGTCACAGGGTTGTGACAGTGCTGTCTGATTCGGGTTCGAGACATCTTTCTAGGTTCTGGGCCAAAGCCGGAGATGTTGGTGGCGCCGTGGATACAAAGCTGGAAGATGTTTTGAACGCAAAGGAAGAGGATCAATAGAAGCTACGGTTCATTGCGGACAAGCATGGGGTTCGTCACGGGCAAAGAGAGACAAGGCAGAATTAATCATTTATGGCCTCCGGGAAGACCCCTGGACAGGGGCGACAAAGCCCAAACATGCTATTCCCGCTATGCATGAAGCTGATGCTAGTGTCGGACATGGCGGCGGCCAGAACCATGCTCGTTGCCGCTGAAACCGACAAGCTGGGATCCCCTCGGCCTTATCCGGACGAACCGTGGCGGTGGCTCCCATTCGCGCTAGATAGAACCGCGCGATTGTCTACGGCCCTCCTGTCATCCAGAGTTGCCCTAGTGGGTCGTGGCATGAATCTGGCAAAAAGTCGTGCTTGACGCGATCGTCCCCACTGACTGGTTGCACGTCTGAATCGAATCGAACTCTGACTCAGTTGCCGCGAATCGGCTTCATCCCGTCCTTGTCAGTCTGACACGGGCGCCCAATTATCTTTCTTCGTGGGCATTAAACGGCCTCGCCACTCCAGAGCTGCAATAGTTCGAATTCGATCTCCGCAACTGGGCGTCCAGACAGTCTTGCACGGACGGTGGCCCACGAGAGGTTGTGTTGGTCTTTGATTTTGATTAACTCTTCCCGCTCCTGTTTAGTCCACGGTCTGGACAACGGAGGCGGGTTCGCTCGGCGTTCACTCCAGTGCGTTTTATTCCAGTTAAGGAGTTGGGGCAGGTTTTTGTGTGGAAGCCGCTCGACGATCTCATTCCACTTTTTCCCCTGTACTTGCCTCATCTCAATAATCAACCTTGCTTCATCTGGACTAATGTACGTCCGAACACGTTTCTTCGTAGGCGTCGTCGTATCAGGATCGTGTGGAGTGTTCTCCGCCGATACTTTCGTTATATTTTCAGAGGAAGCCCCACTCTCTTGGGCGGAAGTGCTGGTCGCTGCTGCCCGCTTATCTGAATCATGAGAGTCGGTTATGGCGGCCAGATGCTTCCGCATGGCGGCCTGATCATGTTGGCCATCGGGGGCCTGCGATAGAATGCCCTTCAAATGGGAAATGTAATCGGATCGAGCAAAGTATTGCTGGCAAGACTTGCATCGGTCTTTCGCACGGCTTGGGGTGTGTGATTCCGAGCGCTTTCCTCGGATCTCCATGCCCCGTTTGGGCGTCGGCGAGGGCTCGTAGTCTTCCTGCAACGGATCGTCGGATTCGTCTCCGTCCGGCGTCTCTGCGAAGGACCAGTCGCACACGACGGGGCTAGAATGATGCTTCCTCCCCTGCGGTGACTTCTGAGGCTTCGTTGCGCGTTTTTGTCCAGAGCCCCGTCGAGAGGACCAAGGAAGTGCCCAGATAGACCCTGATCCCGGTGGAGACTGAGACCGCACTGTATTGAAAGAAGGCGCAGGACGTGACTTGTTCCATGTAGGCGTAGCAAAGTCCCCGCTAATTTCAGGAACGCGCCATATCGCCTCCACCGCCTCACTGAACTTGACTTCCTTGGATTGGGCGGATGCTTCAGCCGCAGAATTTGCTTTTTTGATGGTCGGTTTCCCTGTGGCATCTGCCGTCACCTTTCGGCCCCGAGAGCCATCCGGGTTATTCTGGACGCACAATGCAGTATCTAGCAGCGAGTCCGCACTAGACCTCTCGTCGTTAGTGTCCGGATCGTCATTGGCTGCTTCGCCCATGATGGCGTCCCATGGCTGGTCCGGGACCAGCCCTGTTTGCGATGGCATCGACGCCGGTGGATGCTGCGATTGCGTGCCGCCGTCATCTCCTGCAGCATCACCTCCGATTTCCTCTGCATCAAGAGAATGAGCAGAACTGCCCAACTTAGCATTGTCCGCATCGGGATTTGGAGGTGCAGGCAAGTCCGTCTCGAACAGCCAACCATTCTGTTCCCCGGTATCATCTTCGCCCTCCATGGCCTGGATGTGGCCATTGTTCACGATTATATTTCCGGTTTGTAAATCAATTTCGTCGCCAACGTCCGTAAAGTCCTTGCCGTATTTTTCAAAAATGCCTTCGAAGATCGACTTCAGACGGAGATCATTCTGCGCACGTGCTTCGTGAATGTCCATATCGTCCACCTCTTCCTCGGGTTCCAGCCCCATGGAGAAGCGTGGTCTTTTCGCGGGCCTTTCCATTGTCTCGTTAAATTGTAGCTGAATTATTTTGGGTGCGCAAGAGGGGGAGAGTAGCGACGAAGAAGGTTTCCAGCGCTGCTTCTGCGGAAAACACCGAGCGAAAGGTCGATTGGATCAAGGTTGTGACATCGCCTGTTGAAAGCTCTTTACACTTGTAGTTAGTAACGGGTAGTATAAATAGACAAAGCAGCGGAACTACCGATTCATAGAGGCCAAGACGAAACGAGACAAGGTAGAGCAGACTGAGAAAGGAACTGGGAGTGACATAGTAACTCCTGAGTGCACAGAGAGAGGGACATTTCAATGTCTCGTGAACAACATAAACACATTTCAAAAGCTTTGGGGACAGGCTCAATTTGAGAAGTGATTAACACGGATTATGCATACCTTCCAGAGTGTTAAACCAACCGACTTTGCATTCCGATTGTCTGGAGCTGCATTGAGTGAATAGAGACCATTGAAACTGCCGGTCGGGGAAAGAACGACGCCAAAACACGCGCCGCGCACGGATTGCCGCATGACGTCTCGTGAAATGCGATCCCCTGCCGACCATCCCCAAAGCTCCCTCTCGTCCTTCTCGATTTCTCCCTGGCTCCTGTCAGACAAAATCACCATTTCCCTTTTACGATCCTAATGATGCCAGGGTGGCTGATTCCATCATTTCGCCATGTATTGCCAGAAGTGCCGGACTCCCTTGAAGTTGGATGGCTCTCTTGAGTCCCTCAACCCCGCCGCCTTCGACCTGCTGATCGGTACGTTAATCTCAGCTTTGGCCTCCCCTCCCTCTCTCTCTCTCTCTCTCTCTCTCTCTCTCTCTCTGTTTAGTTGCACGGAATCATGCCGGAAATTAACCAGTTCACGTCTCGAACTCTTCAGGCTCAACAGGTAGATCCCTGCCGGACCATGGCACCCATTCATCGTCCCGACCTTCCTACCCCCAAGAGCGACGAGAGCTTTACGACCGGGCCTCTAAACATGCTACATCACCGGTATATCGGAGATCTGTTCCAGCTCCCCGCCAGGCAGGCAGTAGCCAGACCAATCCTCCAAGACTGGGCCGAGGTGACAGTGGTAACATGTCCTTTGTGATGCTCACGGAGTCTCAAGTTGGGCCGCCACATGGAATGCCCGGTCCCAGCAGTGATAATCCCTCGAACAGTAAGCTGCCGGCCAGCACACAGTCCAACGATCGCGGATCGGACGACGCATCTTTCGCAGATCAAGTCGAACGAACAAGTCGGCTGTTTGATATAATTTCCGCGCGATCCGACATTGACCATCCCATCTGCACCGAATGTACAGAGATGCTCGTGGACGGTTTACAGCAACGACTAGCAGATGCCACAAAGGAGCGGGATGCATACATCTCATTCTTGCGAAACTTAAACTCTTCTGTCCCCACAGCTGAAGAGCTCGAGGCGGCCCAGAAGTCGCTACAGGAGACCTTGGATGCGGAGAAGCTCGCCTTTGAAGAACTCCTTGCGTTGGAAGCAGAAAAGTCAGTTTTGGATGAAGAAATTGCCGGCCTGGAGGAGGAAGCCCGTCAATTGGATCTTGAAGAAGAAAAGTTCTGGCGTGATCGCAATTCATTCGCCTTGACCCTCTCCGATTTTCAGAACGAACGCGATGCGCTGAACATGAAATACGACCATGACTCTCGCCAGCTTGAAAGACTACAAAGGACCAATGTGTACAATGACGCTTTCTGCATCGGTCACGATGGCTACTTTGGAACGATCAATGGGTTGCGGCTTGGTCGATTGGCTAACCCATCGGTAGACTGGCCCGAGATCAATGCTGCTTGGGGTCAGACAGCGCTCCTCCTAGCAACCATCGCCGACAAATTAGGCTTCCAGTTTCAAGGGTACCAGATCAAGCCAATGGGATCTATGTCTAGAATAGAGAAGATCGAACAGTCTCGACCGTCTCCCGCTCAGTCGGCGCTGAGTGGAGCAAATGCGATGTCATCCGCACCGCCCAAGATCACCGTCCTTGACCTGTTCTCATCGGGCGAGCTGCCCCTAAATCTACCTTGGCTTCACCGCCGGTTTGATGCAGGCATGGTGGCGTTTCTGGAATGTTTACGTCAACTAGGTGAATTTGTCGAGAAGACGCCGGCGCCTGTGCCCTCAAATCGTCGGGGTCAGGCTAACACTACAGTGCCCGGATTGAAGCTTCCATACGAGATCAAGCGCGACAAGATTGGCGACGCCAGCATCAAGCTTGGCTTCAACCAGAACGACGAAACCTGGACCCGTGCATGCAAATACACCCTGACCTGTTGTAAGTTCCTGCTGGCGCATGCGAGTAACGTTGCTAGCGCGGGTTCCAGTAATTCTGCTGCCGTCGCAGCAGCCGCAGTGGCAGCTGGCGAACAAGCCGGGGTGCCTACGACTAATCATACAACCAAATGAAGCCGTCATCTGGTATAGACCGACAGTGCGGGATTAAACAAGACTGCAACCCCCTGCCCTGCTTTACTCCCTCCGGGATCATCAATGGGACTGACTCCCATCGACCCTGCAGCCCACAACCCGATGTTGGGTAACGTACTTCGCTCATCATAGCTCTCACCGGATGGACCAGTTGGAACTTGAATGGATGAAAGCAAATATCTGGTCATCAGCCGTGTGAGCTGGCAGTATGGCACTTCAGCATGTATTCAGTCCACCATGCTTTCTCTTCCTTGCATCACGCGGTTGTAGCATGACCATCAGCAGCAACCTTGTCCCAGTGAGAATTAGCAGCATATGATCAACGATACCGCGCAGTAGTTGTTATTTACGTATTGCCTCTTTTGTCTTCTCCCGTGGCCAGTTTTTGCGTCAAAACGCTGGCGGTGTCGGAAGAGGACGATGATCTCCTCGACAAGCCGGCT